CTGCCTCCAGGTTCCTGCCATGTTTGGGTTCCAGTGTTGACTTCCTTGATGATGAACAGATAAGGAAGAGTAAGCCAAACAAACTTTTCCTCCCCAACGTTTTGGTCCGTGGTGTTTCACCACAGCAATAAAAACCCTAAGATACCAATGTTTGGGTAATAAATGACTCAGTCGTGAGGTAAAGATAGAGATGTCAAGCCTTTTACCACAGTTCACGCTCCTGTCACCGTCTGCCAGCCCAGGTGGACAGTCAATGCTTTTTAAAAAGATTTTATTTATTTATAAAATCCATTTTATAAGATTTATTTATTTATTTTACTCAGGTGTAAGCATGGTGCCCTCAGAGGGTGCTGGGTATCGAACCCAGGTCCTTTGGAAGAACACGCAGTGCTCTTAGCCACGGTGCCATCTTCAGCTCCAGTCAGTGGAGCTGACAGAAGTTGTTTCCAAGTCCCTGAAACTAACTAAGGCAAATGTCATCACCACAACCCTCGTGACAGGCACTATCGACAGCCATGCCAGGGAGAAACAGAATGCAGTTCTCAGCAGTGTGACCCTTAGCAAAAATTAGTGGGTTTTTAGTAGGTATTTTCTGGGTTTTGTTTTGCTCTCATCTGTTTGTTTGAAACGGTATTATTTTTTTTTAGAAAAAAATACATTTTTTACACTGTGTGTGTGTATATATGTGTGTGTATGTGTTTGTATGTATGTGTGTTTGTCTGTGTGTGTATGTATGTATGTGTGTTTGTGTGTATGTGTGGTGTGTGTGTATGTATGTGTGTGTGTATGTGTGTGTTTGTGTGTGTGTGTGTGCACGCGCGCACGTGCTCATGTATATGGGAGCTGTGGAGGCCAGAGAACAAAGTACAGGGATCAACTCCCTCGTTTCACCATTCGGGTTCTAGCGATTGAACTCAGGCCATGGGTACCCGCTGTGACCTGGTGTTTTGGGGTTGCTGTGTGGTGCACATCCCCTCTCAGTCTTGCCCGTGGAGAGCCAAGGGACTGGTAGACAGAAGGGAGCGCCACTGAGATGAACCTGACTGCTTTGCTCAGCCGCCTCCCAAACTCCTGCGGTGTTCCCAGTCTACACCCAGTTCCTGAGGCTGACCCCCCACCCTCTAGTCCACCACACTACAGCACATCTGTCTCCGACATGCCTGCACCCTGTCTCCATCTCCACTGCCCACTTATCGTCCAGGTCCCAGCTGCTCATGGTTTTCCCTGGTCTGCCCCCCAGCCCACCCGCATCACAACGCATCATCCCCAGCCCAGGCCGAGAAAGGTAAAGACTATAAAATCGACCAGAGCATGCCACTCCTCCACTTCAGAGTCCTCTGACTCCTGCCGGGCCAATGGGCCCTGTGTTCTGGCCGCTGCCTACCAGCGCAGGCTGCCACTCCCATTCCCCCGGTCTACAACAGCCCTGGCTTCATTCCTAGCCACACGACCTTTGCCTAGCTGATCCCCTTCTTTGGCTCTTGCCCACTGCTTTGTCTCATGAAACTCAACTCCCTCTTCCCAGAGTTCTTCTCTGAGGCCACCCACCCCAGCCACTTCCCAAACGCCCCACACTAGCGGTCTCCTCCATGCCCCCTCACCACCTTCTTGCCTTCCTCCACTTAATAACTGTGGTTATTATCAACGTGTGAATTTGCCTCTTCTACCTCAGAAACATTCAGGAACCTCACCTCTCCTGCCCACTCCTTTGTTTGCTCAGAGAAGTGACTTGCCCCTGCCCCATCCCCCCACCTGTAGTAAAAAGATTTCTCCCCCAGAGTCCTTAGAGTTCTCCTCTGAGCAGAGCCTGTTTTGGCACTTCTAAAGGACCCAGGTTTGCTTCCTTAAAGTTGGATGGCTCAGAGGGGGCTCCTTGGTCCCTTTATTCTAAAACCTATGTACATGCTGAGTTCCCCAAAATGGCAAGGCCTCCCAGGGCTACAGCGGAAGTCACCTCAAGAATCTACTCACTAATTAGTGATGAAGGCATACACATGCCCCATCATCTGCCACTGCATGCACACACACACACACACACACACACACACAGAGAGAGAGAGAGAGAGAGACAGAGAGACAGAGAGACAGAGAGACAGAGAGAGACGGAGAAACAGAAAGAGACAGAGAGAGAGATGGAGAGAGAGGAAGGGGGAGGGAAGGGGAGGGAGGGGGAAGGGGAGAGAGGGAGGAAGGGAGGGAGGGAGGGGTTGGGTTGTGGTCACAGCCAGCTTCTCACCAAGCATTTCACCTCTCCATCCCAAAGAATGGGCATAGCCTCTACCTGACATTCCCTTCCCCCTCCCTCTTGACTGAACTGCTATCTGGCTTGAAGGGTTGACCCCATCGGCTCCTCCTTAGGAGTGTCTTTCTGATGCACTCAAACAAAGCATGGCCATCGGTGCCTTCTCTTCTCATCTGGATCTTCGCAGAGGCTCAGAGATGGGGACATGGCCCTTGACGTGAGACAGGCAGTCACAGAATGGCGCATGCAGCAGGTATCTGGGAACCAAGCGCCAGAATCATCACAGCCCCAAGGGCCATTCGAAGAGCTGAAATACCGCAGGCAGGCGGTTCCAGCAGGCATCACGTCAGAGAGAACACTTGATCAGATGCTGAGCTGTGACTCAAATGGAATTACAAGATGTCCTCAGAGTGAGGGGTAAAGTGCAAGGGCCAGCGGAAGGTGGGAGATAAGGAGCCTGGACGGCAAGAAGGGCCTTGCCTGCTGCGATGGGAGTTGGGGCTTCATCCTCACACCGAAGTGGTTTGGGTTCGAAAATGGATAATCAGATTCCCACTTGAGGAAGAGCCTCATCCATCCACAGCCAAGAGGGGGTGTGGTTCAGAAGAACAAGGGTGGATGCAAGGTTTCGAGTTGGGGGACTATTGTCGTCAGAGGCAGAAAATCTGACAGGAGCTAAAGGGGATAGTCACAGAGTGGGAGAGGAGAGATGGTCTGCCAGGCGTGGAGGTAGGACCCACACAAGAGGTGAGGGGACTGATGTAGGCACCGAGGAGGACTAAGCAGTGACGTCATACCCCGCCCCCATCCCGGGGCATACAGAAGTGGGCATACACAGGGCAGAAGAGGTTAAGATGTTTGTGACGAACTCGAGGTACATCCTGGGGTGTCTGTGACCCTCAAGTGAGCGGCAGGAAGCGGAGGAATAAAAGAATCAATGGAAGAATAAAGTGAGGTCCCCCAGGCTCTGTAGCCTCAGAGTTTCAAGGAGATGCTCTCTGAGTTCTGCTTCCTTCCCACCCAAGCCCCAGCTACTCATCTCACAGCTTGGTACCCAGAACTGTCCTCCTGAAGAAGTCCTATTATCCATCCCTACAAGTCAGTGGCCTGGCCTCTCTGTGCTTCATAATGTCTCCTCCCTCTGAGGCCTACTCTAGCCAATTTCTACAACGCCTGACACGAAAAAGTCCCAGTCCTGGACTCTAACCTTCCAGGCTCCTGTCCAATGAAATCTGAAGTGTCTAAGGACACCCAAAGGATCCCATGGAGTTCACAATGCTGAGAGTGCCTGGTGACACTCACTCATTCTTCTCTGCCCAAAGATGTCAGCCAGGACTCTGTTATGGGTTGAGTCTGCCCAACCCTGTCTCTGGGTCTCCTATGGGAATCCCTGCTGTGATCACAGTGACTTGCAGAGAGGCCCACAGGGAGGGTCTGGTCTGAGCTGGAAAGAATGAGGACCTGGCTGGCCACCCAAGCCAGGGCTGAGAATGGAACAAGACTGTGGCCTTGATGGAGCTGCACCTGGGAAGTCAATGAAAAACAGGCTCTTCAAACCCGAAAGGGGTCCATGTGACTGAGACTCGGAGAACCAGGGAGGTCCAGGGAGGTCTAGAGGGCCAGTTCACACAAAATCATGGCTAGCTGCTGATCCAGCAGGCGGTTTCACCTCTACATCCCAGAAAATGGCTGCCCGATGGACTTTCCTGGGGTCCCACACTAATTTGGGTGGAAAGGATCCCTCCCTGGGTCTGACCCCTGAACCCCTGGATCCAGGCCATTGGGACGGTGTGAGGATGAGTGGTAGGAAGCAAGCCAACATATCTCGGTGGGTCTTGGGGAAGCCAAGGGCAGAGTTCTGACTGCAGACTACAGTTCTATGCTCCAAAGAAGTCTCCAGCACAGATCCTAACCCCAGCAGGGCCTGAGGCCAGGAGGCTCAGCTCCCACATCACCTTCCCTGTCCATTCCCTGTCCTTCTCCCTCTGCCTTAGTCCTTCGATGTCTATTTATTGCCGGTTTCCTACACTGAGTTGTGAGTTCTCAGAAGGCAAGGGGGTATCACAGGAGGTTTTTAAATAAAGCAACTTGCAGGGTCCAGGCAGCTTCTTGAATAGTGACAGAAGGTGGCCTTACTGAAGGCATCCATTAGGGCCTGTGGCATGGGATAGGGTGAGGAAAGAAAGAATGAGGAACAAGGGTGACAGAGGGGAGGGCCCCTCCTGGGTGACAGGGGACGGGAGATAGACATGACCAGAATGAGCCCTGAAAGAAGCCTCAGCCCTGTGTGTCATGCCCAAGTGGCTTGGGCCCCACCCTGTCTTCTCTGACAGTCAATGTCCAGTTCACAGGCACAACCTGGGTACATACGGTCACACGCCCGTGGGGTGCAGTACGTCAACATAAAACACACATGCCAATCCAAAACTTTTCTTGAGCCTCGGCTCCATCTGTGGCCTTCCCCTCACACAGAAAACAGACTCATGAGATCGTATGTGCCTTTTGTTTGTGACCCCCAGTGCCTAATGCTAACCCAGGGCCCCAGAGGAGGTATGGGAAAAGCTGGGAGATGAGAGGCCACACCTAAGGCCAGAGGTCAACAAGAAGGAAGCTTGGGAAGCAGGGGTCTCTGGTCAAGCTCTGACACCTGTCACCACTGACACTTCCTCAGGTCCACTTCAGTGCTGGGTGGTTGGCGGCCTGAGAGGCCTCCCCACCCTCCAGAGTCCAAAGACCACAGGTGTGGCTTCTTCAAAGCCTGCTTCCTCACAGGCCACCTGATCATCAGTAGGTCTCTGCCTGAGGCAGCTGGCAGAGAGGCCAAACGGTTCTCCCGCCAACGGCACTGGACCACTGTCTCAACAGTCAGCCTCCTGGGGGACCAGACATCCGGCTACACTGGTACTCAGGTAAGAGCCAATTTCCAGCGGATAGCAAGGATGGAAGAGCTTGGGGCCAACGTGGGCACACTTGTGGTTTCCCATGGTTGGGGTATCTGGCAGTCTCGTCTCAGGTTTAGGAGGAAGGACTAGCCCTAGGAACTTCTGGCTGGAGACCAGAAATAGCAAGGGGCTCCGGAAGTCTTCCCCTAGGGTCAGTCATGTAGATACCCCTACCTTGTTCTATACACCTACACAAGGGAAAGCAGAGACCAATCCCTGCTGCTCAAGGGGCCAGGCAGGGCAAACCGCACCTCAGCCCTGCGGTGTAGGGTCTTTAGCAGTAGCTGTTGAACTACCTCTGTCAGCCCACAAGAACCCTTGGTGGCATAGAGGAACCATACCGTGTGAAAGAGCAGGCAGGGCTGAGCAGAGCAGGGCTCTTTTTTTCTTCCATTTAGAAGCAGGAATTGAATGCCACAGGCTGGGGAGATGAGGGGGCAGAGGGAAGGGTCAGGCTTCCAGCACTTGCTCTGATCTAGGAAACGGGTTCTCCCCAGCCCCAGTGTGTGTGGGGGGGAACAGAGACCAGCCGCCTCCTCTGTTCCCATGACGCCCGCTGGCAAATCGTTTTTTCCATTTGTGAGTCACCGTAACAGATCCCCGTCATTTTCATAACAGTCCAATAAACAGGTATAGGCGCTTCCGTACACTTTGGCCGGGGATATGCAACTGAAGTGCCCCAAGCAGGTAGATGCATGGGGATTCACGAAATCACTACAAATGCGTACAAATAACACATTCCCTCGACTCCTGCATACACCCGACACATACAAATTCATGGCATTTAACTCCACTCCACTTCAAAAGATGTTTCTGTGCCCCTTCTATGGTCCACCGTCTAGTGACAGGGACACACTTGTAAGGCAGACACCATTTCCCTATTAAATAGCCCCTAGCCTGCTGTCTTTTTTGAACATGAGAGTCCTCCTCTGAGAAGTGGGGGTAATGGTTCTGGCTCTGGTGTTGTTTTTTGGTTGTTGTTTTTTTTTTTATTACATTTATTTATTTATTTATTTATTTGTTTATTTTGGTTTTTCAAGACAGGGTTTTTCTGTAGCTTTGGAGCCTGTCCTGGAACTAGCTCTGGTAGACCAGGCTGGCCTCGAACTCACAGAGATCCGCCTGCCTCTGCCTCCTGAGTGCTGGGATTAAAGGCGAGTGCCACCACCACCCAGCATCTGGCATTGTTTTGAATACTTGCTGGGTCACTGAAAGCAAAATCCTTAGAGTGGTGCTTGCCATTTGGAACTGTATAAGTACAGTGGACAGATAGTGGCGGAGACTAGATGAGGTGGGGTCCGGAGGGCTTGGCAGCAGGCTCAGGGTGCCGCAGGACTACCGTGACCACTCCTGTTGTTAGAGAGGAATGTGCAGTGTTGAAAATAGCATTTGGGAACGCTCTGGGCAGGGGGTGGTTAAAGAAATGTTTAGCAGTCAGTTGACTGTGAGCTGGATTTATAGAGTTGGAGAGGGGGGTACCTGGGGGAGAATCTGGAATACCAGAGGGAAAAGAAGCAGGAGTGGCGATCAGGAACCAGATGAATGTAGGACCCGGCAAGTTCCACACAGCACCCCCTCCCATATATGTCTGTCTGTCTGTCCTCTATCTCTGTATCTGAGAGGTGGCGGGGAGGGAGAGAGAGAGAGGGAGTCTCTCACTTAAATACATTCTTCCTGGCATGGTCGTTAATGGGACCTTCCTTGCTGTTAAAGCAGGCCTGGACAGGAGGCTAGCTATGGCAGGGAGAGCAAGTGAGCCCTCTGCCCTCCCCACAGAAGCGACTCATTTGTACCATCTTTCACATCTAGTCCTGGAGTAAGATCCGAACCCAGATTCAAATCATGGGAGGCCATTCATGTTGTGTTCTCTGACCGCGACGCTTTCTTCCCTGGCCCGTGACCTCCAAGCCTAACAAGACAGGCTTCTTGGGCAGGGTATTAGATGCAGAAGATTCTGAGTAGGTCCCCTGGAGCTAAGGGCTTCAGATCTGGTCACAGGGTCCCCAGGTCAGAGCAGCAGCACCTGGGCCTTGTATTTCTGTTCCTTCGTCTAACGACTATCCCTGGTTCGTTGTGATTCTAGGAAGCTGTCCTCATCAGTGTCGACATGTCGCGGCCCAGCAGCAGAGCCATCTACTGTGAGCGTTCTGCCTCCCCTCCCCTGCTCAGCTCCCCTCTGGGCCAAGCTCCCTAAACCCCTTCTTCTCCACTGCCCCTGCAATTGTCCAAGCCTAACCTCGTTTCTGCTGCCCCTGCCCTTGACTCTGTACCCACAGTGCACCGGAAGGAGTATTCCCAGAGCATGGCCTCAGAACCTACCCTCCTACAGCACAGGGTGGAGGTGAGTACCTCTGGGTCCCAGGCAGTTTCTGAGCAAAGCTACGAGTTCCGGTGTGTCTTGCCTTACCAGAACATAGGTACACCTGACCCTGACGCAATGGCTCAACCTGACCGAACTCTGTGCAGTCAGACTCAGAAAGCATGAGGCCTGAACACCTGCCAAGTTCAGGGGAGTAGAGAGCGGTCCCAGGGTGAGGAGAGCAGGCCCGGCTGGAGGTGGTGGGAGTGGATACTACTGGGTCCCTAGACAGAAGTGACAAAGTAAATAGTCAAGACCCATAGAACGCCAGCCTACCAACCCTTCCGTTTTCCAACCCACCTCCCGTACTTTGTTCAGGACTGCTTATGGCTGTGGGGAAGACGGTGTGAGGCAGCTGTAAGGGACAGTGCCACAGAGGGGGAGAGTTTGCTTGTACTCCCAGGCCAGGCTGAGCCACTGCAATGGAGTCTCTGGCCCCACCCAAATGGATAGCTGGCACTCTGAGATCTGGTCATTTGAATTGGCTTTTAAACTTCAAGGATGTGGTCAGAGAGCTGCTCAACTAGGGGCGTGGAAGAGGCCACAGTGCACGGGAGGGGGCACAGAACTCACAGCCACCCCGGTAGCCTCAGGTACTGAGAGACATGTAGGACACCTAGAGTGCAGTAGAGAAGGGGCTCCCCAGTCATTGTTCAGCATCTCTGTAGAGCGAGGCTGGGAACTGACTTCACTGAGGCCCTTCAGGCAAGAGCAAGAGGAGGCGCATTCAAGGCAACTGGCCCGTAGGCTCTGTTGAGGTCCTGGCAGTGTGGACGCAGTGATAGGGCCTCACCGGGGCAGGAGGGAGGATGGAGGGTCCAGGAGCAGGAGGTAGAGGGCTTCTCTCCAGTAGAAGACTGGAGAAAGTGGCGGATGACTCAGGAAGGCAACACTTGGCTGAGGCGAGGGATTTCTAGAAGAGGGTGGACCAGGAAAAAGCTGCCAAACAATGGGACCAGTAGAAGGCAAGGACCTGGGAGCCAGCAATGGCTAGGGCTCTTTCTGTGCAAGACTCAGAAAGAGGGTCTTCCTGAGAGTCCCGAAACACTGGGTTGGCACAGCTGGAAAGACATCTGGGTATGGGCAAGAGTATGGAAAAAGGCAGGGGTCAGCAAGTGGTGGTGGGGCAACCTGAGGGCAGCGAAGGGAAGCAGAAAGGTCCTGTAGCCCACACAGAGGAACACGAATGACTGTTGGATGATTGGAACCCACGCCCCGACCACCCAGTCACCTTAATGATGTTTCCTTTGGAGCCCCAGAACCCCTTAGCCCTAGACCTGGAAGCCTCGTCAAGAAGTCAACTTCTTGAGGCTCTTGCTTTATTGAAAAGCATGACCTCCCCACAGGGGGAGCCAAAGACACACCTTCCTCCTCCCCTTCCCTTTCCCTGCCTGCTGCCATCTGGGATCCTCTCTCCAAACCTTCTCCCAACGCCAGTCTCTTCCCGTCCCCTTAGCATCTGATGACATGTAAGCTGGGCACCCAGAGAGTCCGGGAACCGAAGGATGCCCTGCAGAAGCTTCAGGAAATGGATGCGCAGGGGCGAGTGTGGAGCCAAGACCTGCTCCTGCAGGTCAGAGATGGCTGGCTCCAGCTACTGGACATTGAGACTAAGGTCAGCCTTCTCGACAAACCCAGCTGTGGGCCCTGGCTAACCTAGGATGCTAAGGAGCAAGCTCCAGGCTCTCCACCTGCCCCTCAGGGCCTCTCCACGTTCAATACACATCCCAAACCAGGGAGAGGCAGGGCAAGGTCTGGGGACAGTGGCATAAGAATCGGGGTAGAGACTCTACCCAGCCCACCAGAGAACAGGGATGGCCTTTTCTCAGTCTCAGGGGCTCTCTGTGACCCCCCCACATTTGGCCTTTCCACCTGCCTTAGGAGAACCTGGATTCTTACCGCCTGGACAGCATCAAGGCCATGGATGTAGCACTCAACACCTGCTCCTACAACTCCATCCTGTCAGTCACTGTGCAGGAGTCTGGCCTGCCAGGCACCAGCACTTTGCTCTTCCAGTGCCAGGAAGTAGGGGTGAGTGACTGGGTAGAGTGGCCAGGGGTGGAGTTTGGTGACCATCACACACACACACACACACACACACACTCACATTCACACACACTCACACACACAATGACTGCTGCTTTCTCCAGGCAGAGCAACTGAGGACAAGCCTGCAGAAGGCCCTGGAGGAAGAACTAGAAGAAAGGTAGGCTGCTTCTGCTCAACAACATCCAGGGCTTCCTAGCTCAGACCTGAGGACCATATCCTGGCTACTCATGTGGAGAACTCATGATCCTGGGACCTAACAAAACATGCCAAGGACTAATAAAGGCTTAGTCCAATGGAGGGTGTTGGGAATGTATTGAGTGTGTTGGATACTGTGCCCAGAAGCTGTTCTAGAACCCAGGGAGGCCCAGGAACCAGGCAGGTGAAGCATGGTGGAGTCAGCAAAGGCTCAAGTAGAGACTAAGGAACAGGAGTAGGGTTCCTAGGGAGAGAGGGTGGTGTCCATGGGCCCTGAGGCAGAAGTGTGGGCTTAGGTATCTCTCTCAAGAATTTTATCAAAGTTGTATCTTTCCCCATGCCCTCAGCAGACCTCGATATGGAGCCCTTCATCCAGGTCAGGACAGATGGAAGGGGTATTCTCCAGAAAGGTCGTTCCCTATACAACCGGCACCCCCTCTGGAGCAGAGGTACTCTCCAGAACGGAGGTCCCCTCCGGAGCAGAGGTACTCTCCAGAACGGAGGTCCCCTCCGGAGCAGAGGTTTCCTCCAGAGCAGAGGTTTTCTCCAGAGCAGAGGTTTCCTCCAGAGCAGAGGTTTTCTCCAGAGCAGAGGTTTCCTCCAGAGCAGCCACACCACATGACCCCAGAACGAAGTAAGTTTGTGTCTGAAGGCAAGTGGAAGAAAAGGTTTGGATCAAGTCAAAGAAGTTCTAGGGTCATGGTCCCCCTCTCTCCATCCATTGCAGGCATCCCACCATCCCCAAGGTCCCTGGCACACTACCCAAGTGCCCGAGAACCAAGTGACTTCACTCTGCCTCCTCCCCCAAGGCGTGCTCCATCTCCTGAGGACCTGGAGATCGATGAGGTAACTGAAGGTGGTTGGAGGCTTGCTGGGGCTTCCTGAGCTTGGGAGAAGGGAGGACCAATTCTCAGGAACCCAGATGCCCAGGATAGACAGGGCAGGGCTGGGATTGAGGCTGGGATTTCCAGCGGGATGATAGCAGGGCCAGGGCGGGGAGTTTCTGGGATTTCATGACTGTCCACTCAAGGCTATGTGTTGTTGGGGGTCCAGGAGGTGCTGAACCATCTCCTGGTGGACATTGAGCTGTTCGCCGGAAGGCTGAAGGAGGCCAAGGCAAAGGACAGCCGTAAGAAGAGAAAACTTGGAAGGAAAAAGAAGAAGGCTCAAAGCAGTAAGCACTTCATGCCAAGGGAGAGGAGCAGGGGTGTCTTGGCAGGACCTGGAAACCTCACCTTTATTCCTTCTCCCACAGAGATAACACCAGCACAGTACATTGACTGTTTCCAAAAGATCAAGTTCAGCTTCAACCTCCTGGTTAGTGGCTCTGACCAGCTCTGGGCCCTCCTCCCCTAACTCCCCCTCTCTCTGATGTCAGTCACCTAAACCTTTCCCTGCTCCAGCTTTCTCCTTCGCTGGGGACTTTTGAAGGGCGCAACATACTTATGGGGGGCTAGGGTTCTGGTAAAGGGAAATGCTGGATGGACACCGACATTGAGCTGTGTCTTCAGGGGAAGCTGGCCTTAAGGCTGCAGGAAACAAGTGCCCCTGAGTTCGTGAACCTCCTCTTCGAAACCCTGAGATTCGTGAGTGGAGGGCAGATGGGGTGGCAAAGGGGACAAGGTAAAGCCAAGGAGGAGCAGAGGAAGGAACAGAGGCAGGGGGAAGTACCAGGGCAGAGGGAACTGTGGGACCTGCCCTTTCTTCAACATGCATCTTCATGCCAGAATACCACTCAAGACAAAATCCCCCAGCAGGCCTGAGGGGCTGGCAACAGAGTCAAGGACACCAATATTTGGGGGGACAGGCAGGAAGTGGGGGACAGACAGGAAGCCAGGGGATGGGCACTAAGCGAGGAGACAGAGCTAAGGGGTCTTTGGACAATTCCTACTCCTTTCTGAAACTCTCTTTACACTGCTCCTCAAGATTCTGGAACAGTGCCCTGAAGATGACCTTGCAGCTAAAGTGATCTCACCGCTCCTCACCCCCAAAGCCATAAACCTGCTACAGTCCTGTCTAAGCCCACCCGAAAATACTCTCTGGAAGTCGCTAGGCACAGCCTGGACCACCAGCCGGTAAGTGAAGACAACGGGTGTGGAGGAACCAAAGCAGGACAGGGTGTGTGGCCTGTGGTATGCTATCATAAACCAGAGACATATTGAGAACGTGGGGGACTCTACATTGAGTTCCCAATTTTTTTACTAAACACTGCCTTTACCCAGTGAAGAAACACATTACTTCAGAGGGGAAAAAAATGCCAACCTTCTACTAAAATGTATGTTCATTTTCACCAGAGACCAAGTGAAAACTTGACCTTAGTCCAGCTCAGAATTTACGAATGTCTGACAAAAGAGATGTCACAGATGTAACATCCAAAAGTTGACCTAGCAAGCCAAGGTGCTGTGGCTGAAAGGGTGGGCATAGGACCAGTTAGAGAACCTGGGGATTGGGAAGGAGACTCACTTGGAAACCTAGACTAACATGTCCCAGGAAGAGTCTACAGAGGCCACACATCTGGGTCCCCAGCTGAGAGGTCCCAACTATGGGATAGGTCAATCTCAGAGTGTCAGATAGCCACAGTGGGAGGCCTGTGAGGGATCCTCTGGGAGCTCCTGACCTTGCTTCCTCAAGTGTGGTTGGTAACAGAAGGTAGGGCTCTGAGAAGCAGAAGGAAAGTAGGAAGAAGGCAAAAGGGAATCACAGAAATGCTGGGCATGGTGAAGAACGCCTTTAAGCCCAGCACTTGGGAAGCTGGAGGCAGAGGCAGGTGGACCTCTGTGAGTTCAAGGCTAACCTGGTCTACAAAGTGAGTTCCAGGACAGCTACCCTGTCCAGAAAGAGGAGACAGAGAGAGAGAGGAGAGAGAGAGAGAGAGAGAGAGAGAGAGAGAGAGAGAGAACGCAAAGAGCAGAGGTAATCAAAACAAGAAGACAATATTAAGAGCCCAGAGCTATCAGCAGGGAGACAAGTCATTTGACAGTCTGGCTTGGGAAGGAAACTCCCACACATTTGTCTAAAGAGCAGTTCTTTTCAATTCAGGCCCATGTGAAGTTTTGTCCAGTTTGCTTAAAGACATGAATTAGTTTCAGTACTTATTTTGATGGTTAGAATATACATAACAAAATAATATACAGATTTCAGTATATAATTCAGTAGCATCAAGTATATATTGATACTGTGCCCTAACACCACTCTCTAGCTCTAGAACTTCCTCACCCCAAACAGAAAGGCTATATCTGGCAAAGAATAATTCCCCATCTCCCCCTGGCTACCTTTGCTCTATATCCATATCCGTTTGCCTATTCTGGACACATCATATGAGTGAAATAAGACATGGTTCATCCCTTTGTGGCCAGCTGATTTTATCAATCAAAATTGATCCACGTTGTAGCATGTGTCAGAATTTCCTTCCTTTTGTGGTGGACTAATATTCCCTCGTATGGACAAGTCCTATTTTGTTGATCCTTTATTCATCAATGGATATTTGGATCGTTGAAGCCCAAAGGATCTGTTTTATGTAGTTTGTCTAGCCACTCAGAGGAAGAGATTTATAAAGTCTGGACCTCTTATAACGTCTTAGACACTGGCTCCTGTAGCTGGACTGGGCTCACTCACCCATGAGGACGGCTTTGATGTGGAGTGCTAGCAAGAGAGGAGAGCAGGGTCTGCGGTGGACCGAGACAAGGCCTCAGATGCTTTCATTCTGGCCCTTTAATGTGGACTGTCCATGCTAGGTTGTAGTAGGACTTTTTCATCAGGACTGCCAGCCCATAAGTAGTGACACGGAGACTTATTATTAATTATGAAATCTTGGCCCTAGCTTAGGCTTGTCCTCAACTAGTTCTTGTAACTTATATTAATTAATCCATTTATATTAATCTATGTTCTGCCATGGGGTATTACCTTGTCTCCACACTGCCCATCCTCTGTGTCGAGATGGCAACTCTTTATGTGCCTAGATTTCTTCTCCTCTTCCTCTCTTTCCCTGGAAATCCCGTCTATCTTCTCCTGCCTAGCTATTGGCCATTCATCTTTTTTTTTTATACCAATTGCACTAAAACATCTTCACACAGTGTACAAATATTCCACAACATTAGGCCTGTCATTTTATGCTTCAAAACCCAGTATTACTCAAAAAATTTGAGAAATACTCTGTAACGTGCCTGCTGCACACCCCTGAGGACCTGAGTTTGAATCCCCAGCTCTCATATAAAGGCCAAACATGGCAGCATGCCTATAACCCCAGTGTGAGAGTCAGGGTAGACAAAGGAGGGTCCTGGAGTGAGACAGCCAGCCTAGCTGAAGAGAAGCACACCAGGTTAAATTAGAGACTGTGTCCTAAAAAGTTAGGTGGAGATGGCATCAACCTCAGCCCTCCATACATACAAGCACACACATTCACATGTGCGCACCACACACACACACACACACATATGCAGGCATGCATGCACATACATCTGCAACATGGAAGACTTGGTTGGCAGATATAATTTTAGCAATATCCATGAAGAAGCAGAACAATCCCAGTATTAATAAAATGGCACAGATTTGATGAACAATCCATCAAGTCAGATATGCCCTTGAATGATCCCTAATTTCTTAAAATAACTAGAAGTGAATAGATTAACATGAAAGAAATACAGAAAATAAAAGACATGTAAAAGTCCTTAGAAGAGCTGAATTTCTGTCCAATTACATTTTAGACAAAACGACCCAAAGTTGTAAGTAACACTAAATGGTCCGGTAACCCAGGATGATGGGGAACAGTCTCTGGACTTGGAGAACAGATGATCAGGATCACCCCATCCCCGGGGGGTAGAGACCAAGCACAGGGCCTTGAGCATGTCAGGCAAGCACTCTCCCACTCAGCTGGAAAACACATCTCCAGCCTGACAATCAGGACTTTCCAGTGGACCAGTTTCAGTCCAGTAGGGGCAGAGGCGGCAACCAGAGGTAAGGAAGTACAGGCAGGGCATGAACGCACATTCCCTGGAGGCGTGGTAAAGAGACAGTCAGGACCATAGCCATAACCAAAGGAAATTATAACCTGGTCAACAGAAGACCTGAGCATGCTTCTAGGGCACAGAGAAAACACCACTGATGAAGAATTTACTCCTGAATAAGCATGTATTAGCTCTGCCTATGCTGCCGCCATAGTGATAGGAAGACAGCCCCGTCCCCAGCCAGAAAGTGCTGCACGCTAAGAAACAGACCTATGTGAATCGTGTGCCATCGCGTGAAAGAGGCTGTACTAACTTTAGAGGGTACTTTTCTTGCTGCCCCAGTGAGGTGAGGAGAGGAACTTTGAGAGGCAAGTGAGCATTCTCAGGCAGATAAACCTGGAGTCTAGAAATGGCGTGGTCCTGGTCTGTGGGCAAGGGGGAGGTGAGAGGCAAGTAGGAGCCCATCCTGGCATCAGGCAGAGCAGCCCCACTGTCATGTGTCTTCTGTGATGGAAGTTCTTCATGCTGCTTAGCCAGAGGACAGAGAGCTGCTGTGGGGACATGGCAAACAGGTTAGAAAAATACTGAATGGGCCAGGCGTGGGGCACAGACCTGTATTCTCACTACCCTGGAGGCTGAGGCAGGAGGATTGCAAGTTCAAGGTCAGCAAGAGCTACACAGTGAGTTCTAGGCTTGCACAACTCAGTGAATGCTGTCTCAAAAATAAAAGTGCTTTAAAAGGGGTGGGACGGAGACAGTGGCAGCGTGCACAGAGCCTGCACAGGTCTGGGCCAGATGGGGTCCCAGTGCTGAGAGGGGAAGTGGACACAAGCCTCCATCCGTAACCTAGAAGCTGTCTCCCATTGATAACTGTTCACAAATGAAAAATTGTTTTTCCCTAATGGAGTCTCATTGGGTGTACAAACTACTCTGAAGGCCAGGCTCCAGGCCAAGTAGTAGTAACACAAAATGAAATCAATGGCATTTTTTGAAGATTCATTGTCACATAATGCTTTGTAAGAGTTCTTCTTCTTCTTCTTCCTCCTCCTCCTCTTCTCTTCTCCTCCTTCTCTTCTTTTACCTTACAGGTGTTATGTCCACTTTTGTGTTTTTATGGGTTGTCTCTGTATGTGCACATGTATATCACTACATCTATATGTACTTCCGGAGCCTTTTCTTTGGCTCTTTTTCTTCCATTTGTTTGTTTATCTCCTACTCTGGTTTATTTGTTTTACCTCATTTTATTTCATTATTTTAGATGCTTGTTTGTATTCCAGTGAGAGAGAAAAGGAAAGCGTGTGGATTTGGTTGCTTGGGGAGTAGGGAAGGATCTAGGAGGGGTTGGGGGAGAAGAAACCATAATCAGAATGTATTTTATGAAAAAAAATCTATTTTAAATATAAATAAATAAAAGGGGGTAGGGTTGCTCTTTGAAAGTCCCCAAAGGAATCTTCCAGCCCCAATACTCTAGATTACACCACTTTAATTCTAAACTTTAATGAGGGTGACCGAGCGCCACCGTGTTCCTAGGGAGGTGACAAGGCTGTAGCTTTGGGACCAAGGTGAAGCTGCCCCCAGATACTTAACACTGTTAGTCTTGTTCCTGCTTAGCCACTTGCTCCTTTGTGGGTTCTCTGTAGCCTGTCATAAGCATACATTCACCATGTCCCCATTAGCCACAGATCCCTGAGGCTAGGCCTACTCATCGCCCCTTCCCCACATCCCACAGCCTGGCACACAGTGGTCCTAGATCCAGCTTTGTTCTCCCCTCAGGGCTGACTGGATAGGCGATGAACCATCACCCTACCGACCCACATTCTCCGATGGCTGGCAGATTCCAGAGCCCTACTTCATGGTAAGGGTTGCTTAGCACGGTGACCTACACAAAGCTCCCCCAGTCCAGATCAAAACCACACGACAACTAAGGGGTGGGTGGTATGGGTACCTGATGGGGAGGCAGACAATGAACAAGAGGCAGGGGTTGCAGGCCTGTAATGGTTGGGCAGCCCTCCTCGTCACTCTACTGGGTACCTCCTGTTCTAACCCACTCTGGTTTTATTTCTTATAGGAACTCCTAAGAAACCAGGATTCTATTTCCTTCCGGTATGTCACAGGTTTAGTGGATGCTCACAGTTACAGGGAAGGAGGTAGAGAGCAGAGCGTTCATACCTGTGGATCATTATATCCCAGAGACCATTTTACTTAACTCTTAGCTGGATATGGACATGTGGACAATCTCTCTCCTCTACCTTGGGTGAAAAAAGCAGTTTCTTACCTCCCAGTCTCTGACTTCTTGTAGCCTCTGAGTCCCCAAAGCTCAGGTATAAAGTGCTCAGAGCAGAATCAAGATCCAGAAAACCCCAGTTCTAGAAATGTTCTCAGAGATAAATGACATTTCAGAGCCCTCCCCCACCCCTGTCTGCAAAACCTTGTACCTGAATCCCCACCTAACACTAGAGCCATCAAATCCTATGGAAACCCCAAAAAGTCACCAACAGACCGTAACTAGGAGCTATCTGGAGCTCTACTGGCTGGGCCAGGGGCACAGTTCCCTTCTGTCAAGCCATCCCGACTCTGTCTCTCGCCTCGACTCAGAGGTTCTAGGATGAGGAGCAGCCTGCACTTCCCTCCGGATGAGCCATACAACCATAGCGAGGACTCAAACCTCCCATCCTCCAGTCCCATACCTGCCGACTCCACCCTGAAAATGCAAGTCCTTTATGAGTTTGAAGCCAGGAATGCACGGGAGCTGACTGTGGCCGAGGGGGAGATTCTGGAGGTGAGGCCTATGCTTGAGGCCAGAAAAAGAGGTGGTTGGTGGGAGGTCCAGCTCACCTGGAGTGGGTGGCTTACAGAGAGAAAAGGAAAGTGGGAAAGACCAGGGAAGGACAAAGCCTTGGGGATAGAGGTTCTGATGGCTGACGTGGCGATTCTCGGCAGGTCCTGGACCAGAGCAAGCGTTGGTGGCTGGTGAAGAATGAAGCAGGACGGACCGGTTACATTCCCAGCAACATCCTGGAGCCCCTGCCTGCTGGAGGCCCTAGAAGCCACAGACAACCATCCTTTAGGGTACCACTCAGCCTAGGGAGCCCTGAGTCCTGAGAGAGGATGAGGTGACAAACGGAGATGGTCATAGTCCAGTTGCATTACTATCACTGCATGCTTCCTGGGTTCATGCTAGTTCATGGGAGGGTCTGAACAAAAATTAAGTCAGGGTCCCTGACAAACCAGAAAACCAGAAGGTACGATAAGGAGCTTGATGGATCTCAGTAGAAGGGATGCACGGCCATGAAAGGGATGACCTCTGACCTCAAGTATCCTTCATTCTAGGCTCCAATGCTTCGTCTTAGCTCAAAGCCCGATGAAGTCACAGCTTGGCTACAAGCGGAGAACTTCTCTACCATGTGAGTGCCCAGTCTCATGGGGGCGGTGAGGGGGGAGCCTCATAAAGGGCTCAAGTGAGAACCGCAGGCCCCTTCCCCCTCAGAGACCTTAACAAGCAACCTAGCTTCCATTGTGCGTGATGATTCCATCTTAGGCTCAGCGAAAGAGGAGAGGAGAAGGTTGCTTGTCTGAGCCCAGAGTAGGGCACCACATGTAGTGAGAGAGCAAGAGTCAAGGGTAGTGAATTCTGGAAGAACCTGGCCTGTCACTTTCACCACCCCTCCCTTCCAGAACATTCTCTTCTAAAGTGCTGTGCCCTCAAACCTAGGAGTTCTGTAACTGACTTATTCCTGCACCTGCAGATACCTAATTCCTGTAACCCCCAACTTGCCTTCTCTACACAAATACTGAGGCCGAGCATCCTTCCGCCCCACTTCTGATGGATTTTACTGTTATTTGCAGCACCGTAAGGACCCTGGGGTCCCTGATGGGGAACCAGCTACTTCACATGAGACCTGGGGAGCTGCAGATGCTGTGCCCTCAAGAGGCCCCACGGATCCAGGCCCGGCTGGATGCTGTTAGAAGGATGCTGGGGGTGAGGTCCTGACTCCTGCCCAGAGGTTTTATATCCTCTCGGGCTGAGAAAGGGAGAACTGGGAACTAGGTGTGGGATATTCCTCTGGAGACTCAGTTTCTCCACTCATGTGTCTGGAAGCTCTAATCATATTGGTGGTGGTATGATCTCTGGGGATCCCTCACTTGGAGCCAGCTGCATCTGAATTACTTTCTTCCTTTAGATGAGTCATTAGATACCAGCTCAAATACCTCCAAGACCAAAGACCTCTCATATCCAAGATGGAGTGTTTGGTACCCAGTTAGAGCCCTCAGAAGTCCTCTTTCTGTTTGTGGCAAACTACAATATCCCAGATCACACAGCAAAGAAGATGAATAGATCCAGACTTTGAGGCAAATGGTACCCTTGTTGGGTTGAAACTCCTCTCCGGTTACTATTTATTTTACCCCTATCCTGACTTGGCATACTTATTCCTAATCTCTTGTTCTGACTCCTTTCCAATAAAAAGCATCTTTAAGCCTGTTATAGGCCTCTCCCTTGCCGTTTGTTCTGGGTCTGATGGGAACCAAAGGGAGGAAGCAGGGAGCCGGGATACTGGGTATGAAGCAGCCACAATCCTACAACCTCTACTGGTCAGACTGGGCTAAAGAGAGAACTTACTGCAAGCTGGAGCTGAGCATCAGCCTCTGGGGACTGTGGTCCATTCTCTTTCTCCTCTCTAAACAAACTCCCAAATGAGCAATGCTCATCATTGCTATCCTCCTATGAACATGGCTCTCGGTCTAATCCAAAGCTCTTGGTACAGCTGAAGGCATGGCACTCACAGCAGCAGAGAAGCTGCTGCTGACAGCTGTGGGCTTTGCTCACGCTGGCTGGTGATTCAGAGGAGTGTGAAGAGGTGAGGTACCTACCACACGCTCTTCCTGGGAACTTCCACTTCAACTACTGTTTGTTAGATGGGTCAATCATGAGCTTCCCCCTGCCTGTTTCGTTACTGGCAGAACACAGGCATATTACCTGGGAGGGGCAAGTCCTCAGGTCCACTGTGCAAACTCAGGCAAGTCGGTCCACCCTCTGGACCTCTGTCCTCAGGTTAAGTGTGTGTTTGGTTGTCTGTGGCATCTCCTGTCTTTCAGTCTCAAAACTCATGAAATGAACTCTTCTCCACAGAAGAGAAGCTATGCTTTCGTTGATATACTCTATGGGTAAGGTTTGATGTTCTCGTGGATTTAAGATCCCCTTGTAGGGTCTTAAGAAGGTCCAGGAAATCTTTTTTTTTTTTTGGCTGAATTTATCCAAGCCCACATCATCCAGAGCAGAGTACCTTATTTTCAGATGTCTCTACCAATTCCCTCAACTTCCCTGGCCTCATGAAAGCATCTCTTGTAGTTAGGAACACAAACTAAGAAAGCAAAATCTTGGAGGGGGAGGAGGAGGAGGAGGAGGAGGAGGAGGAGGAGGAGGAGGAGGAGGAAGAGGAGGAAGAGAAGGAGGAGGAAAGGCCTTCGAAGTCTTATCAAGGGCAAACTTAATCAGAAAAGCTAAGGTCTTAAAATGGAAGGAGATACTAACCCATTGGCCTTGGCTTCTCAGAGCTAAAAACCAGGAAAAACCTAGAGTGTTCCCCTGACTTCATATTAAAGATGATAGCAAGATAAGAGGCTATACAACTAGCCGAGCACAGTGGAACCAGTAAAAGTATTAGACCATCCTCAATCTGAATCCTGGATCACCAGGGGAACTTGATGGGCTTACCCATCTTCTCTAGGCCTCCACTCCTTTTTCCAGAAAATAGGCAGAACATGCCTGCACACAGCCTGAATTGGACTATATAACTACAAGTGAAACACCCCGACCATTGCCTGGCATGCTGGGATGCTCTATTCGCGGGGATGTGATTTAGTCTAATGCTTCAGGTTAGTTTGTCAATGGCTTTTATTTTCTTGGGGGATTATAAAGTCGCGTGTCTCTATACCAATTTCTTCTTTTTTTAGTACAACATCTTTTTACAAAGTCTGAAGCTTGAATCAGCTAAACTATGGAAAAGCACGATTTCCCACCACCCAGGCTCGAGGAGTAAATGTTGGGAGCCCTGGATAGCTGTGCTGTGGAAGGTGAGCAGAACACTCTGGACTCCCCTAAATTTCTCCTCCACAATAGCCCACAAATCCTCTTGCCTGCCCAGAACTGACAGAGCCACTGTGTATCTTGGGTAGAGGATAGATAGTTCTATCCCCAAAGAACTTTTAGGTATTGCCTTATACCCAAATCATTTCCTACCTCACAGTTTTATGTGTCTATGTGATTTATTAGTTCTTGTTGTGTTTTCCTTCTTAGCCCTTCACATGTCCCTCCAAAGGAGCCTAAGACAGCGGTCCCCTTGTGCTCAGAATTCCAACTCCCACTGACCAATGTCAGCTCATTATGCGGCATGACTCTCACGCTCCCCGGGTAACTAGGGTCCAGGTCCCCACTGCCGGGGTGGGGACGCGTCAGCAGCCGGGGAGGAAGTTCGCAACACAAGCTTTCAGGCGCCTCAGTTGCGCGTGCGCGCCCGTGGCCCCCGCGACTACGCGAAAGGCGGGTGGAGCACGGGGCGAGGAAGGAGGAGCCAGTCCGATCACAGTGGCCCCGCCCACAGCGTCCAGTATATAGTTGGGCGCCCACAAGCCTTCGCAAATCCTCGCAGGGGCTCAAATCTTTCAACATGTCGACTAAATCGTCTATGGTTCTGGGTTACTGGGATATTCGCGGGGTGAGTGGCTCCTCGCCAGCCCAGCTGCTGGGACGGAGATGCAGGCGGTGTCGGTGGGCTGCAGCCAGTGCGGAGGGGGCCTCCCAGCTGTGACCAGGATCAGCTGAGCTGCCCTCCGAGGCCTACCTCCGGCCAGCCTGTGGGGTCCCCAGGCCCGTGGGGAGAGGAGGAGACCGGACATTTCGGGGCCAGAGCGAAGGGGCTGCTTAACGACAACTTTCCCCGCCCGACAACTTTTAACACGATACAGGGACTTCGCAGCTTTGGGCTGGGGACGTTGACGGGCGGGGGTTGGGAGCGAGTGGCAACCGCGCAGGCGCGCTGACCGGGGTCCTTCTCCATTACCCCCCCCCCCCCCCTTTAGCTGGCTCATGCCATCCGCATGCTCCTGGAGTATACTGATACCAGCTATGAGGAGAAACGGTATACGTGTGGGGAAGGTAATGTCTGTGGGTACCGGTGGCCCCCTGCACTGGGCCAGGGTGGCCCTCCAGTTGTCTTTCACCCAGGGAGGAACACTACACCGAGGTGGTATGGGTCCCCTGCTCCAGTCAACTGGGAACTGTGTCAAGAGAAGCTCAGTCATGGGATTTTTCTCTTGCTGCCCAATCAAATCTTACGTAGGCTGTAGAAACCCAAGCGTTAGGTTTTGGGGATTGGGAACTTGAGGTATCAGGACTAAGTCATTTCTCGGCTTGGCTGGTAAGGGAGTTGGGTTCCATTTTTCTCTTACAGCTCCCGACTATGATAGGAGCCAATGGCTGGACGTGAAATTCAAGCTAGATCTGGATTTTCCTAACGTAGGTGGTGGCTTTGGAGGAGTGGGCAGAAGGGAAGGCCACCTGCCTATCAGTCTTTTACTTCGTCTCTGGTTTGGGAGAATCTAGAATAGAGGCTCTTCAGATGCAGAGAATGGATAGAATCCAAAGACCATTGAACAGGGGGAGAGCAACATTTTAACTCCCACTAACGACTATCAAACACTAACATTTTTCTCTCTCAAAAAGACAGGCTATAAGAGACATTAATTACTTAGCCCAGGGGTGTGACTTTGTCACTGATAGAAATCTCCTCAATCTGTCCTAGTATCTTCTTAAGTGTCATGGTTGTTAAATGCTCTTTAATGTATCCATAAACACACTACTCTTAGTTTTACTTTAAAATATAAAATATTTACAGTTTGCTTATAAAAAGTATTCCGAGAAAGTCGACATGCCATGTATACATTCTCACTGACACACAGAATCTCGCGCGCTTGTCTAGAATCAGCTGGGGACCGAGTGCTAGCTATTTTCTTTCTCCGAGCTTCTGTTATCTCATGTTTACTGCCTTGCAAGTCTCTGTTCCCGAAGAGTGGAACTATGTCCTGGTTTCCTTCCAGCTGCCCTACCTTATGGACGGGAAGAACAAGATCACCCAGAGTAACGCCATCTTGCGGTACATCGCGCGCAAGCACAACATGTGTGAGTGGCCCAGCGCTGATGTGAGAGAGCCGAGGCCGAGGCCCGAGGTGGGTAATCCCGAGGGTGACTTGTGGCCATCTGACCTACAGGTGGGGAGACTGAAGAAGAGAAGATAAGAGTGGACATCATGGAGAACCAGATAATGGACTTCCGCATGCAGCTGGTTCGGCTCTGCTACAATTCTGACCACGTGAGTTGCTTTACCGGGAATCAGCTGTGCTGGGTTTCAGGCAAACGTGCTAAGAACTGGCTCGGCTCCCTTCTGTGGTCGCCATCTTTTCATTGACCCAATCTGTAAGGATTAGAAACAGGTTTTATTTTTTGGTTTGTTTTGTTGTGTAATTCCGGCATTAGTGTCTCTTCCTTTCCAAAGCTAGCTTCCCATCCTGCCTCCTCCAAGTAAAGGCGATAAGAAACTGCCTAGAGAAAGGTCCGCTGTGTCCATCACTGAGCCAGGCCCTGACTACAGCTGTGAGCTATTGTGTGTGTGTGTGTGTGTGAGTGTGAGTGTGAGAGTGTGTGTGTGTGAGAGAGAGAGAGAACACAATGTGTGCAGAGAGAGAGAGAGAGAGAGAGAGAGAACACAATGTGTGCAGAGTCCAAAGACAGCATTAATGTGGACCTGGAAATCCAACTCTGGTCACCCCCGTCGAACCATCGTATCCATCCAAGAACAGCATTGTTCTTTCCCCTCCTAGGAAAGCCTGAAGCCTCAGTACTTGGAGCAGCTCCCTGCACAGCTGAAGCAATTCTCCTTGTTCCTGGGGAAGTTCTCATGGTTTGCAGGGGAAAAGGTAGGAAGGGGACACAGGAGAGGAACCCGCCTGTCTCTGCAGGTCCTGATTCATTCCTCAGGCCTGACATCTCATTGTCCTCCTTCTAGCTTACCTTTGTGGACTTCCTCACCTATGATGTCCTGGACCAGAACCGGATGTTTGAGCCCAAGTGCCTGGATGAGTTCCCAAATCTGAAGGCTTTCATGTGCCGTTTTGAGGTGATTTCCATGTCCCTTTCTCACAGAAAAAGCACAGGCCCCATTGTACTTCTGCCTAAAGGAGTCAGTAGGTGCCTCTGGGTTGCTAAGCAACAGCTGAAAGAACTAGGTGAAGGCAGCATGTGAATGCCACTGTTTCTCGGTGTGGGCCTGCTAGGCGGGAGTGGAGTCCTAATGAGGCCTGGTATGCTGTTCCTTCAGGCTTTGGAGAAAATTGCTGCATTCCTGCAGTGTGACCGCTTCTTCAAGATTCCAATCAACAACAAAATGGCCAAATGGGGCAACAAGTGCTTATGCTGAGCCAGGGACGC